TTGTGCAAGAAAAGGGAATCTAGTTTCGGTTTTTTTTTTTTTTTTTTTTTGGCCTTTTTTGGCCTAGTTCCCACTGGTCTCTAGTTCATCACCCACCTCTGCATGTGGGCATGGTGCTTCATGACTCTGAGTGTACTTTGTGCCCTGAAGGTGCTGCATCGCACGCCGAAGCCAATCTTGGGGGGAATTTCATCCTTGCTGAAGCCTTGGTCCCTTGCACCCACCTCAGTGCAGGCACAGCACCCAGGGGAACGTCATCCCTGCAGATTGAGGGCCACACGTTTTGACCAGGGCCAAAATGTGTGAGTGGGAGCTGAGCAGCTTCAGTGGGGACTGTAGAATCCGAGTAATTTCATATTGGGAAGCTCCAGTCCAGGAAGTTTGGGAAACCTTCTCAGAAGGTTTTGCTGGGGAGACTGACCCACAGATGAGTTTTACCCTGATGGGATGAGCTCTGCAGCGTTAGAGCAAGGAGGCAATGCTGCCTTCCCCTGTGCCAGTGCAGAGAAAGGCCATGAAGATCATTAAGGGACTGGAGCATCTGACACAAGGTGAAGCTGAGAGAGCTGGGACTCTTCTGTCTGGAGAAGGCTCAGGGGGATCTTATCCATGTTTATAAAAACCTGATGAGAGGGAACGAAGAAGACAGTGGTGCCCAGTGACAGGGCAAGAGACAGTAAGCACAAACTGTAAAACCGGAAAATCCATTTAAACATGAAAAAAACCTTATTTTTACTCTGAGGGTGGTCTAAACACTGGCACGGGTTGCCCAGAGAGGTTGTGGAGTTTCCATCCCTGGAGATATCAAAACCCAACTGGACTTGGTTCTGGGCAACTTGCTCTTGCTGACCCTGCTTTGATTAGATGGGATGGACTGGATGATCTCCAGAAGTTCCTTCTAGCCACATTGATTTAGTGATTCTGTGCTTCGGATGACTGGGAGCCCACTGGGACCAAGCTCAGTCCTAGGGTTTGAGGGTGCTGAGTGGTTCTTCTGCAGGAAAGCATGGCTGTCCCACTCTGCCCTTCAGGGTGGACTCCAGGAAGACTTAGTAAGCATTTTGGGACTTGTCCAAGTTTTGTGCAGAACTCACATGGTGTTTCCTTCTCACTGGGCATGTATATCATGCTGGGCTGATCCTTGCGCACAGCATCACTCCTTCTCCAAAGCCTGATGCATCTCCAGGCACCAGACATGAAAGATCCTCAAGGATCAAGGGAGAGGCTGTCAACCCTTGCCACAGCACGGGATTGTGGTATTTAGCAACCTTCGTGCTCCTAGGAAACTTCCAACTCAGCTGCAAACTGTCGTGGGGTTTTACACATTGTGAGGGAAGGAGCTTAAGAAGTCCATGGGCTGCTAAGTTGTAGAGCAAGTGTGTGCTTTCAGCTATGACCACGCTGGACCAAAAGCACCTTGAAATGCCACATCCAAGTGTGCACCTGAATGGGAAACGCCTACTGCAGCATCTGAAGAGCTGCCTGAATGAATCTTTCAGTAATGATATGCCCTTAGGGACCCATCTGCATGAGTGGAAAGAGAAGCTGAGTCAAGTGAGGAACGTGTTTTGCAGAGGGAACCTGCCCTGGCATGAACGTTTCCAGCCGTGGCATCTTCGTTGGTGCCATGGGTCCAAGAGAGTAGGGTCTAAATGAGCTGCTGTGCCAGGGCAGGCTGCTCTTTTGATGAGTACATAGGGCTTCCCTCTACTAAAATGAGCAATCAGGAGGAGTTAATTTGCAGACTCTTTCCTGGTGATGGGGAGATCACAGTGAACTGGCAGCTCTGCTCTTAGGAAAGGTCCCTGAGCATCTGACACCCTCTGCCCTATGCTAATTTCTGCCAAGCAGGATGTCTTTTTCATAGAATCATAGAATTGTCTAGGCCAGAAGGGACCTCCAAAGGTCATCTAGTCCGACCCCCCCGCAGTCAGCAGGGACACCCCCAACTAGACCAGGTTGCCCAGGGCCTCATCGAGCCTCACCTTGAATATCTCCAGGGATGGGGCCTCAACCTCCTCCCTGGGCAACCTGTTCCAGTGCTCCACCACCCTCACAGGAAAGAACTTTCTCCTCATCTCCAATCTAAATCTGCTCCCCTCCAACTTAAAGCCATTTCCCCTCATCCTATCACTACAGGCCTTTCTAAACAGGCTCTCCCTGGCCTTCCTGTAGGCCCCCTTCAGGTACTGGAAGGCTGCTATTAGGTCTCCCCGGAGCCTCCTCTTCTCCAGGCTGAACAACCCCAGCTCCCTCAGCCTGTCTTCGTAGCAGAAGTGCTCCAACCCCTGATCATCCTTGTGGCCCTCCTCTGGACCCGCTCCATCAGGTCCATGTCCTCCTTATATTGAGGGCTCCAGACCTGCACACAGTACTCCAGGTGAGGTCTCACCAGAGCAGAGTAAAGTGGCAGAATCACCTCTCTGGACCTGTTAGCAACACTTCTTTTGATGCAGCCCAGGATGTGATTGGCTTTCTGGGCTGCAAGTGCTTTTCATGCTTTCACGTTCTCCCCCATCTTTGCAATACCAAGAGACTCGTTTTTGGTACGCAGCAGATTCACTCAAAGCTAGAAGGGGCAGCTGTGGTCCTCAAATGGGGCAAACATGGTGCCTTTGCCCCCAGAGCAGGATCGCTAAGAGCTGATCTTGCAGACACCCCCATCACCAACAGACCGTTCGGATGCATCCCCTGCTGCTGGGTGCTTCCTCGGTGGTACAAAAGAGTCATCAAACCCCAGTGTTCCTCTCCCTTCCCTCTCTGCGCTCAGCTGTGCTGGGAAGCGTGGGTGGCTCTTGCCTCTGGTGGCTGTCAGCTTGCCTCCCTCTAGTGCTTATCCCAACCTCCTGCAACGCCAGCAGCTGGGAGGGAATTAGTCCTCTCCCTTGGGTGTGATCCCTGCCCAGTTTGTGTCTGGATCGTGGACTCATAGAATAGAATCATAGAATTGCTTAGGTTAGAAGGGACCTTTAAGATCATCTAGTCCAACCATCAACCTAACTCTGATAAAATCCCTCACTAAACCATGTGTCTAAGCACTATATCAACCCATCTTCTAAATACCTCCAGGGATGGTTCCTCAACCACCTCCCTGGGCAGCCCATTCCAATCCTTAATAACCCTTTCAGGGTAAAAATTTTTCCTAATATCCAATCTGAACCTCCCCTGGTGCAACTTGAGGCCGTTTCCTCTTGTCCCATGGCCTGTTCCTTGGGAGAAGAGTCTGACCCCCCCCTGGCTACACCCTCCTTTCAGGGAGTTGGAGAGAGCCAGAAGGTCTCCCCTCAGCCTCCTCTTCTGCAGACTGAACACCCCAGCTCCCTCATCCTCTCCTCACCAGACTTGTGCTCCAGACCCCTCACCATCTCCATTGCCCTTCTCTGGACCCACTCCAGCCTCTCAATGTCTTTTTTGTGGTAAGGGGCCTAAAACTGGACACAGCACTCGAGGTGGGGCTCAGGTGATTTTTTTAGGTGTACAGTGATGGCTGGATTAGGTGGGAAGAGCAGGAGGTGCTTACAAAACAGTGATTCCTTTTCCTCCCTGTGATGGGCAGAGGCGATGCCAGGTTGTGCAAGGTTGTGCAAAGTCAGGGGGGGACATGTTATTCTGGGTGCAGCCAGCCTGAAAAACTGGGAGGTGGGGGGGGAAGAATGAAAATCTGCTTCTCCTTCCCCCCCCTTCAAATTAAATGCGATAAGAACGGGGAAAAGATTCTCTCAGCTCTTTGTCTGTCCCATCTGCTCCCAGCCTCCAGCTGGACATGACCTTCCAAATTGGATTGATTAGGAGAAAAGATATAAAAAATAAAGCAGTATTTCACACGAAGCTTGCTCAACACCTTCTGTTATTTAAGTGCTTTCTTGGCCAGGCTCTAAGAGGGAGCAGGAAGAAGGGAGGGCAGCCTGGCAGGAACTGGGAAGACGAAAGGCGATATGGTTGGTGCCTGCATGGTTGGAGGGATGAGCTCACCTCCTAGTTGCCACCTACCCAAATTTCTCCATCCAAGGTGCCCATGCACAATCCACCATGCTGGTTTTGGTGTCAGAATGAGCATTTAATCCTCCTGGCCCAGCTGCAAAACCACCAGATTTTCTCCATCTGCTGTGCTAATGACTAGAAGGACAGACCTCCTGCTTGAGGACACTTGGCTTCTTGCAACCATGTCTGAGGCCTGCATCTGCATTGAGCTTTCTTGGGTGAAGTCTCCGATTTAGGCACTGTGATTCCTCATCTAAATGCCAGGTTTTGCCCTGGTCCTGCAGGGTTTCATTTTTGGATGGATCCACAAGTTCCAGTGTGGGAGGCAATGGGTTTGGGTGCTGCTCCCATGCTCTCCAGAGCAAAATAAGAGAGGGAGAAGTTTGTAAAGCAGACACAGAGTAGAGACAGCTGAAAGGGTCTCTTAGAAGAGCAGAAGGGTCACTAGGGCTGTAACCGTGTGGAGAAATACCATTATCACCTGGGGTAAATAGAGCAAAGCTGTGCTGATGCTGGAACAGAATAAGGAGTAGGTCTCACTTCACTTCGGCAGTGATGCTGCCCATGTCCTGGTGAGAGCAGAAGGCAGGACAGGGTCTTCCTGCCACCAGCATGATGAGTGAGGCCACCAGAAAGCTGCAGGTGGGGTTTAAATGGAGCCTGAGGAAGAGAGAAAGAGATTTTCCTTTGCCAAGGAGCCTTGCTCCCAATATCCCTGTCTCCTCGCTTACCCAGCATGTCTGTTTTTCTCCTGTCCCACAGGAAATCTGCGATGATCCGCACCTCTTTGTGGATGGGATCAGCTCCCATGACTTACACCAGGGCCAGGTTGGGAACTGCTGGTTCGTGGCTGCCTGCTCCTCCCTGGCATCCCGGGAGTCTCTGTGGCAGAAGGTAAGGAGCTCCCCATGCCAGGGGAAAGATTATCTTCAACACCTTGGCTTCATGTTGTGTCTGTCTGGCTCAAAAACTGGTTCTTCAGGGATGCCTCAGGTCCTGAAAAACTGTTCATGTGCTAAAACCTTCCCTTAAAGGACTATCTTTCAAGGGGAAGTCGGTCATCATGACTGCAGTCACATCACACTCAAGCCAAACCCTTGGCTGATTTCGCCTTAACCAAGTGAATCAAGTCCCGTCCTGTCCTCCAGATCCCAAATCTGACCCTCCCCACTCCAAAATAACTTTAAAAATGATAAAAATAACAAAATCCATGATGCTCAGCTGCAGCATTTGGCCCCGTTCCCACATTCCCATGGTGTTACCTCTCTTTGGCTGCTCAGTGTGTGCCCACCTTGGCAATGAGACACCTTGTGCTTGGGTAGGTAGGGTGATTTTGAGGGTATTAGTATCTCTCCTAGTATCTCTCCTAAGCAGCTTCTTCCCCAAAACATCCATCCCTGACATGTCCTATGGCTTGATGGCACCATGTAGCAGCACTCCTTCCAGTGTGGGGTCCAAAAGAACTGTGTTGCAGGCCAGAAAGCCATGAAAGGGCTTCACCAGAATAAGGGAAGCAACCACAGAAGTACAGGGGGGAAGAAGGTCCTCAGTGCCACATCCTTGGACAGTCTGTGCCTGTCCCTGCCATGTCCTCAGCTGCAGAAGAGGTCAAGCCTGTGAAAGCCAAGACCAATATGGGCTTCAGTCCCTGGTGCAGGCATGTGTCATCATAGGACAGGAAACTAGCAAGTTGCAAGCACCTTTTCCTAGATTTTACTGCAAAAAGCAGCCACCAAAGTCCTACAGTATGTGCAGACAGTGTCATCTGCTTCATCCACAGCCTCCCACTTCAACAGACCCACAGGGTCCAAATATTCCCTCCACCCTACTCCTTTGCATCATCTCTGTGGGCTGAGATGCTCCCTGCCTCTGCTGCCTGTGGGTTTTGTGATCACGAACGCAAAGCTCAACCTTGGGAATTGGTGGTTGTTGTAGCATCCCTGTTTTGTTTTGGTTTTTGGTTTTTTTTGTTAAAATCAGGTTTTTTCTTTATATGGGAATGAGATAGCTGTTGTTGGCTTCCAGATATGCCTTTTCTTCCCATCGTGGCTGTGGTGGCTGTTGTGGGTCTCATTACAGGTGTGGTGCAAGGGGTTGTTTAGCTTCTTCCTCTGCATCGATGTCTCCCAAGGGAGAGCGGGCGAGTTGTCTTCCCTCCTCACCATTCACTTCCAGCCCTGCCCTGGGAAATGCCAACCCAACAGAAGCCGGGTCCCTTTGGACACCTCATTATTTCAGGTTGCCAATGGCGTTGCTTTTCCTCCCTTGGCGATGCGGCTCTGGGTGTTTGTGACTTCTCACTTTCCATGTCCTGAACTCTCAGAGGCTCTTCTTTGCCTGCCGGCTCTTTCTTTCAGAAAGGCTTGTTTTCTGGGAAAAACCAAAAGCTGCAGCCCTCTCCCCAAGCCTTCCCTCCCAGTCGTTTGCTCTGGTGTTCACTACAGGGTTATGGTCAGCCATGCTTTGGCACACCATTGCTTTTGGAGACCTCTGAATTAGGTGGGACCTTTCCTCATACTTTGCAAGGTTCTTTGAGGGCTTAAACTGCAGCAGCAACTTTTAAAGCAAAATGGGAGATGTCAAATGCACAGATTAACCCCCTGGTCCAAAAGGACACCAGCTCTGCTGGTGGTGCTGGGATTAGAGCATGGTTCTTGCCAAATGTCTCAGATCCCTTTGTTGGCCAAGAAATAATGGACCTCTTGGTCCTTGGTACTGTCACACATGCAATTGAGATAACATTGCTGGAGGTGCTTGTTGCTCCTTGGCCCTTGGGCATCTCCACACACAGGACCCAGTGCCTAGAGGGCAAACCTCTTCTCCTGACCAGTCAATATGCTGATGTAAGCAACAGTTGAGAGTACAAACAGGGCAGCAAAACACTGTGTTTTTAAGTCTAGTTTTAGTGTCATTAGATACTAAAATGTCTCTGATTCATGGTCCAGGAGGAGCTGAAAGATAGTGATGTGAGTTTTAACATCACAGAATTCTCAGTAGAGGGATCTTGGGCCAGGTCTCCTATTGGTCCTAGAAAATGTAATCCTGATTTACACCAGGATGTAACTTCATCCCTTGTTCCACTGCACACAGTGAAACTCCTTCTCAAACGTCAGGAGGGGGAATACCTTCAAAGGAATAGAACAGGCCAGCCACATCCCTGTGTATCCCAACAGATTACTTTGTTCACACGCTTTCTTGCACCTCACCTCAAGGCTCCCTCCATGTCTCCCTTTCCCATTAAGCCTGTGGTGTTTAAGCCACTGAGTGGGAGTGGGGGACTGGAAGTTATTTTATAGCTGGTTTCTATTTTCCTGACTCTTGGTTGGGCCTACATGGCTTTAGGTGTGTTCTAGCTCTGTAACATCCTTTCTGTGACCCTTCAGAGGTGTCTAGCTCTTATGAAAAGAAATTAAGGCCCTGAAATGGGGGAATTCAAGTAATTTCCAGCAGAGCTTTGTCCTAAAGGGTGGTCTGGATCTATAACCTGTTCTCCCACGGGTTGCGTTGGTATTTCTCAACAAACAAAGGACAGGGTCCAGATTTTGAAGTGGGTCAGACAACCTGCATCTCCACCACTTAGTCTGGTCTCCTGCCCCCTCAGTTGCTTCCAGAGCGCAGGGCAGTCTTGGATGGGACGGCATGAGCAGATGACTCTGAGACCACCCACCTACCAAAGTCCATTTTGCATAGGTCTTCTGCATCCTGGAGTTAGTTATTGCTCTCTGAGGAGGACTCGAAGGCAGATCTTGTGCCTCAGTGTCACAGATGGAAACACTTGACACGGTTATGATTTAGCAGCAATTCAATATTTATTAATGATTTGAGGTATATCAAGAGGTTGAATTTCAGCAGCACTTAATCATTAACTTATTTAAAGATTTACGAAGTGTTTTAAGACAATAATTGAACAGCTATCTAGGCTAGATGTTTACCTAAGAGGTGTCCCAACTCAGGGGAGACACTGACCACAGCCTGCTGTGATCCAGAAAAGCTCAAAGGGTCTTTACTAGAATCGCTACTTATAGTATTCAAGATGATTGACTTTTGTCAGGTACTTTTCCACTTTGACCCAGCACAGACAATGGACTATTCCCGTTCTTTCCATCAGTTATACAAGCCCAGGACTTGCTCGGACTTGGGGTCCTGGTAATCTCCCACTCTTTGACCACTTGAATTTCAGCAGCACTTAATCATTAACTTATTTAAAGATTTACGAAGTGTTTTAAGACAATAATTGAACAGCTATCTAGGCTAGATGTTTACCTAAGAGGTGTCCCAACTCAGGGGAGACACTGACCACAGCCTGCTGTGATCCAGAAAAGCTCAAAGGGTCTTTACTAGAATCGCTACTTATAGTATTCAAGATGATTGACTTTTGTCAGGTACTTTTCCACTTTGACCCAGCTCAGACAATGGACTATTCCCGTTCTTTCCATCAGTTATACAAGCCCAGGACTTGCTCGGACTTGGGGTCCTGGTAATCTCCCACTCTGTGACCACGATCCATATGTTGTCAGGAGTGATCAATTATAGTTATGGTTTTCAAACAGTAGGAGCCATGGGAACCAGGTACACTAAGGGGTTGCCATAGTTTTCTAGTCCGTTGCTCTCCACCTTTTCTCTCTTTCATGTTAGACCATGATGTATCATTCTGGTCCATTGTATTATTATGTGGCCCAGGTGGGGAGGGGATTGTCCCCAGAAGAAGATAGTGGCAGACCGAAGCGAGCCTGATGGAGGCCACCAAGATGGTCTGGAGCACAGGCCATATGAGGAGAGGCTGAGAGAAGTGGGTTTGTTCATCCAGGAGAAGGGAAGGTGTAGGGGAACCTTATAGTTGTCTGCAGCTACTTAATGGGAAGGTGTGGACAAGACAGAGCCAGACTCTTGCTGGGGGTGCACAGTCACAGGACAAGACAAAAGCACAAGCTGCAGCTAATCTTCTGCATGAGCATGGTCAGACACTGGAACAGGGTCCCAAAGAGGCTGAAGGATCTCCATGCATGGAGATACTCAAAGATGGACTGGACAAAGCGCCGAACAACCTGAGTAAGTCCTACTTTGACCAGCAGGCTGGACCAAACCCCTCGAGAGTCTCCTTTCCAACCTGAAAAGAGGTTGTAGAGAGGTGAGTGTTGGTCTCTTCTCCCAAGTAACAAGTGAAAGGACATGAGGAAATGGCCTCAAGTTACGCCGGGGGAGATTTAGAATGGATATTAGGAAAAACTGAAAGGACATGAGGAAATGGCCTCAAGTTATGCCGGAGAAGATTTAGAATGGATATTTGGAAAAATGTCTTCACTGAAAGGGTTATCAAACATTGGAACAGGCTGCCCAGGGAAGGGGTGGAATCGCCATCCCTGGAGGTATTTAAAAGATGGGTAGATGTGGTGCTGAGGGACATGGATTAGTGATGTTTTTTTAACAGTGTTAGGTTGATGGTTGGACTTGACGATCTTAAAGGTCCCTTCCAACATAGACAATTGATTCTATGATTCTATGAATTATTCCATGAGCCTACACTCGGAGAAAACCACTGCCACCCAGACCTGTCGGGTGGCATCCCTGGCTGCACGCCTTCATTTCGGGATAACGAGCCACGGTTGTCAGGGAGGTTGCCAGGGAGGCTGACATCAGACATCCCTTCCCTATAGATTTTTTTGTGCAGAGCAGCAGCAGCACCATCAGTTCCTAATCCGCAAACGAGACGGGAGGGCACCCAGAGGAAGCCCCGGAGGGTGTTTTGCGTCACCAGCCCGGGTTGCCTAGCACCGCTGGGAGACCGTGGAGAGGGGGCACCAGCTCTGGGAGGGCTTGGAGGCTTTTTCCCCCTTGTGTTGTCCTGTTTGAGAGCCAGACGTTGCTGAGGACGTAGCAGAGGAGCAACCCGAGGTGATGGCAGCCGCGGCAGGGATGCTCGAGCTGCCCTTCGTCCGCGACGACCAGCTCACCCGCTGCATGCGACTGCGGTTCCAGAGCCTGCAGCAAAAAAACGTCAGGCCCCAGGACGGCGAGAAGCTGCTGCGTCCCAACGAGCACGTCTACCGAGTGGATTTCACCCGGCAGCACAACCTGCGCTTCCTCCGCTGGAACATCCAACTGGAGAGACCCGGGAAGGTCACGGTGACCGGCACTTCCCAGCACTGGACTCCTGATCTCACCCACCTGATGAACCGGCAGCTGCTGGAGCCGGTGGGCATCTTCTGGAAGAAGCCAGGGGCCAAGGAGGTGGAGTGCAACGAGGCGGACGCCCAGGAATTTGGGGAGAGGATAGCGGAGTTAGCCCAGATCCGCAAGGTGATGTATTTCCTCCTCGCTTTCGCCGACGGCCTCGAACCAGCTCAGCTGAAGGGCTCCATCGTTTTTAAAGCCTGATCCCCTCTTGCTCAGCCCTTCTCACTCCAGCTGTGCTTTTGTCTTCATTTTTTTTTTCTTTCTCGCAGTTCAGTTTTTACACGGTTCTTTTATCTTTTTTTATGAGGGATGGTGTCACGGAAAAGTGGAGGACAGCTTAGAACTTCTGGAGCCCCTCAGCCCTGAGAAACGTTCCCCATACTTTCCTTCCTCATACTCCATCTCAACGATGGGGAGGAGGGGGCCATGAGCTTGCTGCTGTGCTTGCCTAGAGTCTCAGACTGCATGTTTGTGAATTCAGCAGGGATTCACCAGGTCTGACCGGTGCAGGGTCTTGCCGGAGTGGAAATACCAGGCTGCCCTCCAACTGTGTCACCTGCACACCAAAAGCCGGATGGAAAAACCAGAAATAGCCATGCTAGAAACAGGAGAGACAACTTGGAGAGAGACCTGGCTTCCAGTTTCCATCCTAGCCCTCAAAATGGGAGGGATTGTTTGCCATGGAGTGCTTCTCCTTGTGAGGATGCTGAGTGCTTGCACCCTGCTACAACTGTGGCTGCTTGGTGTTTCTGAAGACCAGCCCGTGGAGGATCACCTCACCGTGAAGCTGTAGTACCTTTGGACATGTCATACTCTGCAGATTGCAAACCCACTGGACAAACTGGTGCAGGGAGGTTGGACCACCCTTTTTTTTCCTGACAGCCACCACCGTTTCTTGCTGGGGGTCACTCTGGGGAGGTGTAACTCCGGCATGCTGAGGTTGTTGGTCCTGAGATGGGTTGGAGCATGTGTGTGCAGAGCCAGGCAAGTGAGCCAGCAGCTCTGAGCAGGCTGTGGGTCTGAGCCAGCGTTGTGTCCCCTGCAGCAAAAACAATTTGTGTGTTGCTGCGGCCTTAAGGCACCCATGAATATATTTTTTCTGAAGCACCTCTAGAGAGCTGTGAGGCTGCAGAGCACTTTGCACCACAGAGCAGGGACCTGCTGCTGCTGTCCCCCAAAAGCAGTATCTCCTACCCTCTACAGATGCTGAGGCAGGGTGTCTGGGTGGCCATGGGAGCAGAGAGGGGAGACAGTAGTTTTGCAAGTTTAGGAGCAGGAGGGCGTTTTGTGCCTGGCTTGTCCCATGACTCTGAATAAATTACTAACTTTAGTTCTTCCCTTTTTTCTTCACCAGAAGTACTTTAGTGAAGCTTCTTGAGACCCACAGACAGAAACGTCCTTTGAAAGAGTCAAGTATTATTACAACTGGTCCTTTGCTAAGATTGCACTCAAATGTGGGTGAGTGCTCCTCAAGGTATGGCCTGAGATTTTCCTGAGATGTGTAAGGAGAGGGCAGTGATGGGAAAGCCAGGACAAGGTGACTCTGTACCCATGGCCTGCTGACTGGGGCAGACCATCCCCAAAAGAGTCCAACCTCCTTTTCCAGGCCTCCAGAGATGCAGAATCCATGCCCTCTCCAGCCCAACAATAGTGTATAAAATAATATGGGCAAGCTACGCCAAGCAGAAAGGAGAAGGAAAGCAGGAAGATCAGCTGCTGACTGGAGACATGGTGGGACGGAGACATGGTGGGATCTTTGAGTCTTGCCTGCAACCAAAGCTCAGCCACCACTGAATCATGCAGCCATGGCTGGAGAAGTTGGTGTCTTTGTTTAGACCCCAAGAAGTTCTGGACTCAATGAGGAGAGATAAAAGTGGATGCATCCCTGCTTGGCCATGGCATAGACTCACTGTGGGCCAAACCCACTTCTAGGGTCCTGGGCGACTTTCCTATAGGAGACACCTCCTTGAACATCACAGAGCAGAGCTCCTGACTACAAACCACATTAGACCCAATAACAGGAGCCACATCCAATGGGACTTTTGCATACGAGGTCTCACAATATGCCATTGCTATGTTGCTGGTTGTTGGGGTAGAGTTCTTGCTGCAGATACCTCGCTGGGTATTGATGTACCACAGTAAATAAAAGCCTAGTCAACAGGGTTCCCCTTAAGGACTGATGCTGTGCGTGTCTTCTTCATGATCTTCTTGGAAGCTACCCCAATCCTGCAAGCAATAAAGCAGCACCCACCAGTTTTCAAGTCACTGTTGGTATTTCTGAGCACCTGTTAATCTTCTGTAAAAAGTAAAATGAATATTTACCTTCTTTTCCCTTGGTGTGAAAGGCTTAACCTTGAATATCTCCAGGGAAGGGGCCTCAACCACCTCCCTGGGCAACCTGTTCCAGTGCTCCACCACCCTCACAGGAAAGAACTTTCTCCTAATCTCCAATCTAAATCTGCTCCCCTCCAACTTAAAGCCATTTCCCCTCATCCTATCACTACAGGCCTTTCTAAACAGGCTCTCCCTGGCCTTCCTGTAGGCCCCCTTCAGGTACTGGAAGGCTGCTATTAGGTCTCCCCGGAGCCTCCTCTTCTCCAGGCTGAACAACCCCAGCTCCCTCAGCCTGTCTTCGTAGCAGAAGTGCTCCAACCCCTGATCATCCTTGTGGCCCTCCTCTGGACCCGCTCCATCAGGTCCATGTCCTCCTTATATTGAGGGCTCCAGACCTGCACACAGTACTCCAGGTGAGGTCTCACCAGAGCAGAGTAAAGTGGCAGAATCACCTCTCTGGACCTGTTAGCAACACTTCTTTTGATGCAGCCCAGGATGTGATTGGCTTTCTGGGCTGCAAGTGCTTTTCATGCTTTCACGTTCTCCCCCATCTTTGCAATACCAAGAGACTCGTTTTTGGTACGCAGCAGATTCACTCAAAGCTAGAAGGGGCAGCTGTGGTCCTCAAATGGGGCAAACATGGTGCCTTTGCCCCCAGAGCAGGATCGCTAAGAGCTGATCTTGCAGACACCCCCATCACCAACAGACCGTTCGGATGCATCCCCTGCTGCTGGGTGCTTCCTCGGTGGTACAAAAGAGTCATCAAACCCCAGTGTTCCTCTCCCTTCCCTCTCTGCGCTCAGCTGTGCTGGGAAGCGTGGGTGGCTCTTGCCTCTGGTGGCTGTCAGCTTGCCTCCCTCTAGTGCTTATCCCAACCTCCTGCAACGCCAGCAGCTGGGAGGGAATTAGTCCTCTCCCTTGGGTGTGATCCCTGCCCAGTTTGTGTCTGGATCGTGGACTCATAGAATAGAATCATAGAATTGCTTAGGTTAGAAGGGACCTTTAAGATCATCTAGTCCAACCATCAACCTAACTCTGATAAAATCCCTCACTAAACCATGTGTCTAAGCACTATATCAACCCATCTTCTAAATACCTCCAGGGATGGTTCCTCAACCACCTCCCTGGGCAGCCCATTCCAATCCTTAATAACCCTTTCAGGGTAAAAATTTTTCCTAATATCCAATCTGAACCTCCCCTGGTGCAACTTGAGGCCGTTTCCTCTTGTCCCATGGCCTGTTCCTTGGGAGAAGAGTCTGACCCCCCCCTGGCTACACCCTCCTTTCAGGGAGTTGGAGAGAGCCAGAAGGTCTCCCCTCAGCCTCCTCTTCTGCAGACTGAACACCCCAGCTCCCTCATCCTCTCCTCACCAGACTTGTGCTCCAGACCCCTCACCATCTCCATTGCCCTTCTCTGGACCCACTCCAGCCTCTCAATGTCTTTTTTGTGGTAAGGGGCCTAAAACTGGACACAGCACTCGAGGTGGGGCTCAGGTGATTTTTTTAGGTGTACAGTGATGGCTGGATTAGGTGGGAAGAGCAGGAGGTGCTTACAAAACAGTGATTCCTTTTCCTCCCTGTGATGGGCAGAGGCGATGCCAGGTTGTGCAAGGTTGTGCAAAGTCAGGGGGGGACATGTTATTCTGGGTGCAGCCAGCCTGAAAAACTGGGAGGTGGGGGGGGAAGAATGAAAATCTGCTTCTCCTTCCCCCCCCTTCAAATTAAATGCGATAAGAACGGGGAAAAGATTCTCTCAGCTCTTTGTCTGTCCCATCTGCTCCCAGCCTCCAGCTGGACATGACCTTCCAAATTGGATTGATTAGGAGAAAAGATATAAAAAATAAAGCAGTATTTCACACGAAGCTTGCTCAACACCTTCTGTTATTTAAGTGCTTTCTTGGCCAGGCTCTAAGAGGGAGCAGGAAGAAGGGAGGGCAGCCTGGCAGGAACTGGGAAGACGAAAGGCGATATGGTTGGTGCCTGCATGGTTGGAGGGATGAGCTCACCTCCTAGTTGCCACCTACCCAAATTTCTCCATCCAAGGTGCCCATGCACAATCCACCATGCTGGTTTTGGTGTCAGAATGAGCATTTAATCCTCCTGGCCCAGCTGCAAAACCACCAGATTTTCTCCATCTGCTGTGCTAATGACTAGAAGGACAGACCTCCTGCTTGAGGACACTTGGCTTCTTGCAACCATGTCTGAGGCCTGCATCTGCATTGAGCTTTCTTGGGTGAAGTCTCCGATTTAGGCACTGTGATTCCTCATCTAAATGCCAGGTTTTGCCCTGGTCCTGCAGGGTTTCATTTTTGGATGGATCCACAAGTTCCAGTGTGGGAGGCAATGGGTTTGGGTGCTGCTCCCATGCTCTCCAGAGCAAAATAAGAGAGGGAGAAGTTTGTAAAGCAGACACAGAGTAGAGACAGCTGAAAGGGTCTCTTAGAAGAGCAGAAGGGTCACTAGGGCTGTAACCGTGTGGAGAAATACCATTATCACCTGGGGTAAATAGAGCAAAGCTGTGCTGATGCTGGAACAGAATAAGGAGTAGGTCTCACTTCACTTCGGCAGTGATGCTGCCCATGTCCTGGTGAGAGCAGAAGGCAGGACAGGGTCTTCCTGCCACCAGCATGATGAGTGAGGCCACCAGAAAGCTGCAGGTGGGGTTTAAATGGAGCCTGAGGAAGAGAGAAAGAGATTTTCCTTTGCCAAGGAGCCTTGCTCCCAATATCCCTGTCTCCTCGCTTACCCAGCATGTCTGTTTTTCTCCTGTCCCACAGGAAATCTGCGATGATCCGCACCTCTTTGTGGATGGGATCAGCTCCCATGACTTACACCAGGGCCAGGTTGGGAACTGCTGGTTCGTGGCTGCCTGCTCCTCCCTGGCATCCCGGGAGTCTCTGTGGCAGAAGGTAAGGAGCTCCCCATGCCAGGGGAAAGATTATCTTCAACACCTTGGCTTCATGTTGTGTCTGTCTGGCTCAAAAACTGGTTCTTCAGGGATGCCTCAGGTCCTGAAAAACTGTTCATGTGCTAAAACCTTCCCTTAAAGGACTATCTTTCAAGGGGAAGTCGGTCATCATGACTGCAGTCACATCACACTCAAGCCAAACCCTTGGCTGATTTCGCCTTAACCAAGTGAATCAAGTCCCGTCCTGTCCTCCAGATCCCAAATCTGACCCTCCCCACTCCAAAATAACTTTAAAAATGATAAAAATAACAAAATCCATGATGCTCAGCTGCAGCATTTGGCCCCGTTCCCACATTCCCATGGTGTTACCTCTCTTTGGCTGCTCAGTGTGTGCCCACCTTGGCAATGAGACACCTTGTGCTTGGGTAGGTAGGGTGATTTGAGGGTATTAGTATCTCTCCTAGTATCTCTCCTAAGCAGCTTCTTCCCCAAAACATCCATCCCTGACATGTCCTATGGCTTGATGGCACCATGTAGCAGCACTCCTTCCAGTGTGGGGTCCAAAAGAACTGTGTTGCAGGCCAGAAAGCCATGAAAGGGCTTCACCAGAATAAGGGAAGCAACCACAGAAGTACAGGGGGGAAGAAGGTCCTCAGTGCCACATCCTTGGACAGTCTGTGCCTGTCCCTGCCATGTCCTCAGCTGCAGAAGAGGTCAAGCCTGTGAAAGCCAAGACCAATATGGGCTTCAGTCCCTGGTGCAGGCATGTGTCATCATAGGACAGGAAACTAGCAAGTTGCAAGCACCTTTTCCTAGATTTTACTGCAAAAAGCAGCCACCAAAGTCCTACAGTATGTGCAGACAGTGTCATCTGCTTCATCCACAGCCTCCCACTTCAACAGACCCACAGGGTCCAAATATTCCCTCCACCCTACTCCTTTGCATCATCTCTGTGGGCTGAGATGCTCCCTGCCTCTGCTGCCTGTGGGTTTTGTGATCACGAACGCAAAGCTCAACCTTGGGAATTGGTGGTTGTTGTAGCATCCCTGTTTTGTTTTGGTTTTTGGTTTTTTTTGTTAAAATCAGGTTTTTTCTTTATATGGGAATGAGATAGCTGTTGTTGGCTTCCAGATATGCCTTTTCTTCCCATCGTGGCTGTGGTGGCTGTTGTGGGTCTCATTACAGGTGTGGTGCAAGGGGTTGTTTAGCTTCTTCCTCTGCATCGATGTCTCCCAAGGGAGAGCGGGCGAGTTGTCTTCCCTCCTCACCATTCACTTCCAGCCCTGCCCTGGGAAATGCCAACCCAACAGAAGCCGGGTCCCTTTGGACACCTCATTATTTCAGGTTGCCAATGGCGTTGCTTTTCCTCCCTTGGCGATGCGGCTCTGGGTGTTTGTGACTTCTCACTTTCCATGTCCTGAACTCTCAGAGGCTCTTCTTTGCCTGCCGGCTCTTTCTTTCAGAAAGGCTTGTTTTCTGGGAAAAACCAAAAGCTGCAGCCCTCTCCCCAAGCCTTCCCTCCCAGTCGTTTGCTCTGGTGTTCACTACAGGGTTATGGTCAGCCATGCTTTGGCACACCATTGCTTTTGGAGACCTCTGAATTAGGTGGGACCTTTCCTCATACTTTGCAAGGTTCTTTGAGGGCTTAAACTGCAGCAGCAACTTTTAAAGCAAAATGGGAGATGTCAAATGCACAGATTAACCCCCTGGTCCAAAAGGACACCAGCTCTGCTGGTGGTGCTGGGATTAGAGCATGGTTCTTGCCAAATGTCTCAGATCCCTTTGTTGGCCAAGAAATAATGGACCTCTTGGTCCTTGGTACTGTCACACATGCAATTGAGATAACATTGCTGGAGGTGCTTGTTGCTCCTTGGCCCTTGGGCATCTCCACACACAGGACCCAGTGCCTAGAGGGCAAACCTCTTCTCCTGACCAGTCAATATGCTGATGTAAGCAACAGTTGAGAGTACAAACAGGGCAGCAAAACACTGTGTTTTTAAGTCTAGTTTTAGTGTCATTAGATACTAAAATGTCTCTGATTCATGGTCCAGGAGGAGCTGAAAGATAGTGATGTGAGTTTTAACATCACAGAATTCTCAGTAGAGGGATCTTGGGCCAGGTCTCCTATTGGTCCTAGAAAATGTAATCCTGATTTACACCAGGATGTAACTTCATCCCTTGTTCCACTGCACACAGTGAAACTCCTTCTCAAACGTCAGGAGGGGGAATACCTTCAAAGGAATAGAACAGGCCAGCCACATCCCTGTGTATCCCAACAGATTACTTTGTTCACACGCTTTCTTGCACCTCACCTCAAGGCTCCCTCCATGTCTCCCTTTCCCATTAAGCCTGTGGTGTTTAAGCCACTGAGTGGGAGTGGGGGACTGGAAGTTATTTTATAGCTGGTTTCTATTTTCCTGACTCTTGGTTGGGCCTACATGGCTTTAGGTGTGTTCTAGCTCTGTAACATCCTTTCTGTGACCCTTCAGAGGTGTCTAGCTCTTATGAAAAGAAATTAAGGCCCTGAAATGGGGGAATTCAAGTAATTTCCAGCAGAGCTTTGTCCTAAAGGGTGGTCTGGATCTATAACCTGTTCTCCCACGGGTTGCGTTGGTATTTCTCAACAAACAAAGGACAGGGTCCAGATTTTGAAGTGGGTCAGACAACCTGCATCTCCACCACCTAGTCTGGTCTCCTGCCCCCTCAGTTGCTTCCAGAGCGCAGGGCAGTCTTGGATGGGACGGCATGAGCAGATGACTCTGAGACCACCCACCTACCAAAGTCCATTTTGCATAGGTCTTCTGCATCCTGGAGTTAGTTATTGCTCTCTGAGGAGGACTCGAAGGCAGATCTTGTGCCTCAGTGTCACAGATGGAAACACTTGACACGGTTATGATTTAGCAGCAATTCAATATTTATTAATGATTTGAGGTATATCAAGAGGTTGAATTTCAGCAGCACTTAATCATTAACTTATTTAAAGATTTACGAAGTGTTTTAAGACAATAATTGAACAGCTATCTAGGCTAGATGTTTACCTAAGAGGTGTCCCAACTCAGGGGAGACACTGACCACAGCCTGCTGTGATCCAGAAAAGCTCAAAGGGTCTTTACTAGAATCGCTACTTATAGTATTCAAGATGATTGACTTTTGTCAGGTACTTTTCCACTTTGACCCAGCACAGACAATGGACTATTCCCGTTCTTTCCATCAGTTATACAAGCCCAGGACTTGCTCGGACTTGGGGTCCTGGTAATCTCCCGCTCTGTGACCACGATCCATATGTTGTCAGGAGTGATCAATTATACTTATGGTTTTCAAACAGTAGGAGCCATGGGAACCAGGTACACTAAGGGGTTGCCATAATTTTCTAGTCCGTTGCTCTCCACCTTTTCTCTCTTTCATGTTAGACCATGATGTATCATTCTGGTCCATTGTATTATTATGTGGCCCAGGTGGGGAGGGAATCATCCCCAGAAAAAGATAGTGGCAGACCGAAGCAAGCCTGATGGAGGCCATCAAGATGGTCTGGAGCGCAGGACATATGAGGAGAGGCTGAGAGAAGTGGGTTTGTTCATTCAGGAGAAGGGAAGGTGAAGGGGAACCTTATAGTTGTCTGCAGCTACTTAATGGGAAGGTGTGGACAAGACAGAGCCAGATTCTTGCTGGGGGTGCACAGTCACAGGACAAGACAAAAGCACAAGCTGCAGCTAATCTTCTGCATGAGCATGGTCAGACACTGGAACAGGGTCCCAAAGAGGCTGAAGGATCTCCATGCATGGAGATACTCAAAGATGGACTGGACAAAGCGCCGAACAACCTGAGTAAGTCCTACTTTGACCAGCAGGCTGGACCAAACCCCTCGAGAGTCTCCTTTCCAACCTGAAAAGAGGTTGTAGAGAGGTGAGTGTTGGTCTCTTCTCCCAAGTAACAAGTGAAAGGACATGAGGAAATGGCCTCAAGTTATGCCGGAGAAGATTTAGAATGGATATTTGGAAAAATGTCTTCACTGAAAGGGTTATCAAACATTGGAACAGGCTGCCCAGGGAAGGGGTGGAATCGCCATCCCTGGAGGTATTTAAAAGATGGGTAGATGTGGTGCTGAGGGACATGGATTAGTGATGTTTTTTTAACAGTGTTAGGTTGATGGTTGGACTTGACGATCTTAAAGGTCCCTTCCAACATAGACAATTGATTCTATGATTCTATGAATTATTCCATGAGCCTACACTCGGAGAAAACCACTGCCACCCAGACCTGTCGGGTGGCATCCCTGGCTGCACGCCTTCATTTCGGGATAACGAGCCACGGTTGTCAGGGAGGTTGCCAGGGAGGCTGACATCAGACATCCCTTCCCTATAGATTTTTTTGTGCAGAGCAGCAGCAGCACCATCAGTTCCTAATCCGCAAACGAGACGGGAGGGCACCCAGAGGAAGCCCCGGAGGGTGTTTTGCGTCACCGGCCCGGGTTGCCTAGCACCGCTGGGAGACCGTGGAGAGGGGGCACCAGCTCTGGGAGGGCTTGTAGGCTTTTTCCCCCTTGTGTTGTCCTGTTTGAGAGCCAGACGTTGCTGAGGACGTAGCAGAGGAGCAACCCGAGGTGATGGCAGCCGCGGCAGGGATGCTCGAGCTGCCCTTCGTCCGCGACGACCAGCTCACCCGCTGCATGCGACTGCGGTTCCAGAGCCTGCAGCAAAAAAACGTCAGGCCCCAGGACGGCGAGAAGCTGCTGCGTCCCAACGAGCACGTCTACCGAGTGGATTTCACCCGGCAGCACAACCTGCGCTTCCTCCGCTGGAACATCCAACTGGAGAGACCCGGGAAGGTCACGGTGACCGGCACCTCCCAGCACTGGACTCCTGATCTCACCCACCTGATGAACCGGCAGCTGCTGGAGCCGGTGGGCATCTTCTGGAAGAAGCCAGGGGCCAAGGAGGTGGAGTGCAACGAGGCGGACGCCCAGGAATTTGGGGAGAGGATAGCGGAGTTAGCCCAGATCCGCAAGGTGATGTATTTCCTCCTCGCTTTCGCCGACGGCCTCGAACCAGCTCAGCTGAAGGGCTCCATCGTTTTTAAAGCCTGATCCCCTCTTGCTCAGCCCTTCTCACTCCAGCTGTGCTTTTGTCTTCATTTTTTTTTTCTTTCTCGCAGTTCAGTTTTTACACGGTTCTTTTATCTTTTTTTATGAGGGATGGTGTCACGGAAAAGTGGAGGACAGCTTAGAACTTCTGGAGCCCCTCAGCCCTGAGAAACGTTCCCCATACTTTCCTTCCTCATACTCCATCTCAACGATGGGGAGGAGGGGGCCATGAGCTTGCTGCTGTGCTTGCCTAGAGTCTCAGACTGCATGTTTGTGAATTCAGCAGGGATTCACCAGGTCTGACCGGTGCAGGGTCTTGCCGGAGTGGAAATACCAGGCTGCCCTCCAACTGTGTCACCTGCACACCAAAAGCCGGATGGAAAAACCAGAAATAGCCATGCTAGAAACAGGAGAGACAACTTGGAGAGAGACCTGGCTTCCAGTTTCCATCCTAGCCCTCAAAATGGGAGGGATTGTTTGCCATGGAGTGCTTCTCCTTGTGAGGATGCTGAGTGCTTGCACCCTGCTACAACTGTGGCTGCTTGGTGTTTCTGAAGACCAGCCCGTGGAGGATCACCTCACCGTGAAGCTGTAGTACCTTTGGACATGTCATACTCTGCAGATTGCAAACCCACTGGACAAACTGGTGCAGGGAGGTTGGACCACCCTTTTTTTTCCTGACAGCCACCACCGTTTCTTGCTGGGGGTCACTCTGGGGAGGTGTAACTCCGGCATGCTGAGGTTGTTGGTCCTGAGATGGGTTGGAGCATGTGTGTGCAGAGCCAGGCAAGTGAGCCAGCAGCTCTGAGCAGGCTGTGGGTCTGAGCCAGCGTTGTGTCCCCTGCAGCAAAAACAATTTGTGTGTTGCTGCGGCCTTAAGGCACCCATGAATATATTTTTTCTGAAGCACCTCTAGAGAGCTGTGAGGCTGCAGAGCACTTTGCACCACAGAGCAGGGACCTGCTGCTGCTGTCCCCCAAAAGCAGTATCTCCTACCCTCTACAGATGCTGAGGCAGGGTGTCTGGGTGGCCATGGGAGCAGAGAGGGGAGACAGTAGTTTTGCAAGTTTAGGAGCAGGAGGGCGTTTTGTGCCTGGCTTGTCCCATGACTCTGAATAAATTACTAACTTTAGTTCTTCCCTTTTTTCTTCACCAGAAGTACTTTAGTGAAGCTTCTTGAGACCCACAGACAGAAACGTCCTTTGAAAGAGTCAAGTATTATTACAACTGGTCCTTTGCTAAGATTGCACTCAAATGTGGGTGAGTGCTCCTCAAGGTATGGCCTGAGATTTTCCTGAGATGTGTAAGGAGAGGGCAGTGATGGGAAAGCCAGGACAAGGTGACTCTGTACCCATGGCCTGCTGACTGGGGCAGACCATCCCCAAAAGAGTCCAACCTCCTTTTCCAGGCCTCCAGAGATGCAGAATCCATGCCCTCTCCAGCCCAACAATAGTGTATAAAATAATATGGGCAAGCTACGCCAAGCAGAAAGGAGAAGGAAAGCAGGAAGATCAGCTGCTGACTGGAGACATGGTGGGACCTTTGAGTCTTGCCTGCAACCAAAGCTCAGCCACCACTGAATCATGCAGCCATGCCATGGGCATTGCTGGAGAAGTTGGTGTCTTTGTTTAGACCCCAAGAAGTTCTGGACTCAATGAGGAGAGATAAAAGTGGATGCATCCCTGCTTGGCCATGGCATAGACTCACTGTGGGCCAAACCCACTTCTAGGGTCCTGGGCGACTTTCCTATAGGAGACACCTCCTTGAACATCACAGAGCAGAGCTTGGTGTCTTTGTTTAGACCCCAAGAAGTTCTGGACTCAATGAGGAGAGATAAAAGTGGATGCATGCCTGCTTGGCCATGGCATAGACTCACTGTGGGCCAAACCCACTTCTAGGGTCCTGGGCGACTTTCCTATAGGAGACACCTCCTTGAACATTGCAGAGCAGAGCATTCCTGACTACAAACCACATTAGACCCAATAACAGGAGCTGCATCCAATGGGACTTTTGCATACCAGGTCTCACAATATGCCATTGCTATGTTGCTGGTTGTTGGGGTAGAGTTCTTGCTGCAGATACCTCGCTGGGTATTGATGTACCACAGTAAATAAAAGCCTAGTCAACAGGGTTCCCCTTAAGGACTGATGCTGTGCGTGTCTTCTTCATGATCTTCTTGGAAGCTACCCCAATCCTGCAAGCAATAAAGCAGCACCCACCAGTTTTCAAGTCACTGTTGGTATTTCTGAGCACCTGTTAATCTTCTGTAAAAAGTAAAATGAATATTTACCTTCTTTTCCCTTGGTGTGAAAGGCTTAATGGAACATTTAGCAGTTTGTGTGCTTTGGGGAGGGGTCTGAAGCTGGGCAGAGGAGGGGAAACAATCCTCAGGTAGATCCTCTGGTGGACCCTCCTTTCCACCAGAGCTGGGGGCGGGAGGTGAGTGGGGCGGTGCGGTCTCTCTGCTGCAGGGAAGATGAGCCTCTTTATTGAGCACCTGTTAATCTTCTGTAAAAAGTAAAATGAATATTTACCTTCTTTTCCCTTGGTGTGAAAGGCTTAATGGAACATTTAGCAGTTTGTGTGCTTTGGGGAGGGGTCTGAAGCTGGGCAGAGGAGGGGAAACAATCCTCAGGTAGATCCTCTGGTGGACCCTCCTTTCCACCAGAGCTGGGGGCGGGAGGTGAGTGGGGTGGTGTGGTCTCCCTGCTGCAGGGAAGATGATCCTCTTTATACCAGTCACTGAAACTCTCCCTACACAGTTCCCAGGGGAATTTCACCCTGGTTCAGCAGATTGGCACAGCTGGGTCCATCCCTCCGCTTACTGAGCTGGCAAGTTCCCAGCAGAAGAGCCTCTGCTTGGAGGAATCAGTTCCTTCTGATCAGGAACATTTCTCCAGGGTCACAGGTGACTTTTCTCTTAATTAGCCATTCCTAAGAAAAATGAGACAGGTTCTAGGCCAGCTTAGGGAAATATTACAAATTAAATCTGGAACCTGGTGATTCTTGGCTCCCAATTCATCTGTCTGAGCCCTTTTACTGTACATTTGTCACACTAAAGTGTCTTACAGCTCCAGATTTTGGGAGCCCCCTAAACAAAAATCAGCACAGTTGGGTGAATGAGGAGAGCTGGTCTCCACTGCCTTGCCATCACACAGCCAAGTTGAGTCCAAGATTCAATGGGACCTTGTGACAGCTGGTCCATGGCATACTGTCCAGCATCCACTGAGGAGGGATGGAGATGTCTAGGGAGGTTTCCTGAGAGTGGGTGGGAGCCATGGACCTCAGTTGCATGATGATCTCCTGGAGGGATCTGGGTTTTAGCTACTGCTGGTGTTTGTAGATGTGCCCCAGGTTAATCCTTTAGGAAATATGCAGCATCAGGTCACAGGCAGGGGTTATGTCTTGAAGTGTGGTGGCCCTATAGGCACCACATCCAGAGCTGCCACCTCTCCCCTACAGCCAAGGGAGTCGCAGACACCTTGGCCAGGGAATGAAGCAACCAGAGGGATCGTTGGCCTGGGTGGGCTGCTGTGCTCTGGGAGGAGCTGGGGGGAGGAAGCTGATGTGATCATGAAGGGACGGATGAGGACAGTGGTGGCCAGTATCTTCTGCCACCACTGACAGCGATGGCAAGTCTCAGAACCAGCCAGCTGGAAGCTGTTGCTACCAGCTCTGGCTGACAAGCTGCCTCTAATCAATGCCGTAATCATTTCTAAGCCCGCATTAATAGCAAGTTGATTAGCAAAATGGTCCTCTATGACAATTCATTAGGATGAGCTCCAGTCAGAAGGGAATCGATGGGCACTGATGGAGGGCTGTCTGACCTTCCCTGGCGCTGTCCCAGAGGAAGTCTCGGGCATCGTTGTCAGCACTCCTGGAAATCGCCAAACCCTCCAAAAGTACTTCTTTTTCATTGCTCTGTCTACTCTGCTTCTATTGATCCAGACAACTCGAGTGCCAGTGAGCTCGCAAGGCTGATGGCGTCATTAATATTTCAGTGTAGGAGCAATAAAAGCCCTGAGCTGGAGGGCTGGAGCTATCATTGCTGGTAGCTGAGGAGTTGGGGGGCTCTCCAGAGAGAGGGTTCTCTCCAGAGTTATGGCTTCTTGATGGCAGCACAAGGCTGCGGCAGCTGGAGAAGGTCCAAGGCATCGTGCAGAGTGTCTCACCATGACCCAAGACTTCCTGAAGAGCCTCTTTCAATGCAATGTAGCTGTGTCCCATCCTATCCCAACCCAACACTTGCAGCTGTCTCTGCAGGACAGGGTTTATTTGGTGTATTGGAACATAATTTTCCCCATGGGCCCGTTGGGCGTTTTCCCTCACTTAGGTCATGACACTGTGGGAGCAGGTAAGTAAAGCAAAGGCGTGGACAGTTGGTCACATTACTGCCTCTAAATTGGTCAATACTTGTCAATTATTAACTACACTAACTACACGTGGCCTCACAGACTACTCTGGCCATGAAGTAAAACCATGTTGCCTTTGCCCTCAACAAAAGCTATGCTGTGGTGGGACAGTTCCTGGCTGTGTGCCTCTATGTCTTGGTTTTAAATAAAATGCAGATCCCCCTAGTTGCAGCATCTGCATATGGCTGTGCCCATTTATGTCCTAACTGTGGAGTAGATTTTCCATCAAAAGCTAAGCTGGTGGTGCTGGCAGCCATGAAGGACTATGGACTTTGGCAGTTACCCTTGGCTTGTGCCTTGTCCCAGTGGAAGTACAGATGACAGTGACACCAAACCTGCACTCCCTCAGCCCCTCAGCTGCTCTAGGGTTTCTTTCACCCCAGGTCCTCTTTTCCTTCTTTCAGCAAGTCACTTCCACCTTCTTGGATGAGTATGGTAGCCCTTGACAGGGATGAATGGGGATCTTGTGGGGCTGGGGATCTCCCTTTTCTCACTTTCATTTATCAGAGTAGATGTATGCAGAGTGTCTGGTTTCTGTTTGTTACCCCCAGGTACATGAATACAACACTTGATTTTGAGCCAGTCAAGTCACCAGAATCAATTAAGAGGATAAAAGCTGTCCTCTCTTAATTGTACCCTATTGGCACGAAAATGAACAAGATGTGGTCATAAAAATAACCATCCCTGGTCACACTAAGGACTCTTCTGCTCCAATAACCTGTCCATGGCAGTAGATGGCAGCAGATGTCCAGGGTAGAATTATACGAAAGAGGACACGAAAATGAACAAGATGTGGTCATAAAAATAACCATCCCTGGTCACACTAAGGACTCTTCTGCTCCAATAACCTGTCTATAGCAGTAGATGCAGCAGATGTCCAGGGAAGAATTATACGAAAGAGTTTAAGGATCTTTAATTCCATCTTGCAAGGCACATTAAGTCTAAGCTATTCCAGTACATGTCTACACTGGAGGAACCAGATCCAAAATCTGGCCCCAACCGGCTGTAAACAAGTCCATCCCGGTCATATTCTTCTTCGTCTTTGATGTTGTCTGCATTGATTCCAGGATGAGAGTCAAAACCAGCAAAAAAGGGAATAACCTAGGTGCACGTGCCTCCTCTCTTGCAGGTCATCCCAGACTGGAAAGAGCAGGAATGGAACCCCGAGAAACCTGAGAGCTACGCAGGGATCTTCCACTTCCAGTTCTGGCGTTTTGGTCAGTGGCTGGATGTGGTGATAGATGACCGCCTGCCCACACTCCACAACCAGCTCATCTACTGCCACTCCAACTCCAGGAACGAGTTCTGGTGTGCCTTGGTGGAGAAAGCTTATGCCAAGTAGGTACCCAGGCAGTTGCAGAACAAATTGGGACCTGGGCACCTGTTTTTCCTCTCTGTTCATTCACCAGTTGGTTTCCACCAGTGGAAAGAACAGCTGTCCTGGGGAGGAGAAGGACATATCTCAAACAGACAGAAAGTGTAAGAAAAAAAGCATTCTCTAGCCTTTATTGACCCCCAAAGCAAAATATCCTCCATTTCCACATTTGTTTAAGTAACACCTACCCTAGGGTTTTCAGGTTCCTTTACTTTTTCCCATGACAGAAAGAGTGCTGCAAGCAGCATGGGTCTTATTTTTTACCTTAGTTTTCTGAAACTATTCACTGAAAGCTTTTTTACAAATCTTTGTTCTCCAGGCTGCCCCAAGAATTCTCCCAAACCCTTTAAAATGTCAAGTCAGTGTTGCTGTGCCATCCCTGTCACCCTCTTTCAGGTTGTCAGGTTGTTACGAGGCTCTGGATGGAGGTAACACAGCTGATGCCCTGGTAGACTTTACTGGTGGGGTCTCTGAACCTATCGACCTGACTGAAGGGGATTACATCGCTGATGAAGCCAAGCGAAACCTCCTCTTCGAGCGCGTGTTGAAGGTGCACAACCGAGGAGGCCTCATCAGCTGCTCCATCAAAGTAAGCAACATTGCTTGTATGGTCACAGTGTCATGGGAATAGGTGTTTTAGGATGCAGTTGTCTTACACTACTGGACACTTTTAAATTAGATAGGATAAGTTGTGGCCAAGGTTTCCTACTTCTTCCCATGAATGGCAAAGGGAGTCAATCCTGCATGCCAACCTTCTTTATCCCTCATTGCTATGTGCAAGAGCCCAGATCCATTCCACCACCTTTTAAATGTTAGGAGAGGATTCACTTCAGAGAAAGTCATTTTGGTGTCTGCATGTGGACATCTCTACAAACACTGGATGCTAGATCTCCCGTTATAACCAGTAAGATGACCTTTATTATTTGATGGTATGGTTGATAGTTGATAGCTTAGAGACCTCATGCAGCAGATAAAGACCGGGAAGGAACTAGCACCTAAAATGGCATCTGATACATCTCCCAAAGCAACTGGCTCTCTCTCTGAGCATTTGTGCTCTCATTTTCAGTTTAAAGCAACCTGGAGGGCAAGCTGAGCTCTTTTTTTTCCCCAGTCCCTGTGAAGGTGGTGACATCCCCCTGGTACAAGCACTGTTTGTGTCCCCCTGCCCAGGCCACGTCGGCAGCTGACATGGAGGCCCGCCTGGCCTGTGGGCTGGTGAAGGGCCACGCGTACGCGGTGACGGACGTGCGGAAGGTCCGCCTGGGCCACGGCCTGCTGTCCTTCTTCAAGTCGGAGAAGCTGGACATGATCCGCATGCGCAACCCGTGGGGTGAGCGGGAGTGGAACGGCCCTTGGAGTGACACGTGAGTTAGGACGGGCAGCATCAGCACCTTCTTTGTTGGTGGAAAAAGCTGGGCTAGAGCGAGCCTTGAGGCCTGAGACAGCTTGGCTACATCCACACCCGTAGGATAACATTGTATGGGCAGTTGTGGGACACCACTTCAACCCATGTCCTAAACCTACTCTTTCACTGGGGTAGATGCATTCCTTGCCCTGGGGTCCCTGGAGAAGAGCAGGGAGGTGGCTAAGCTTGGCAGATCTTCTCCTTAAGGCTCTGATGGGTGTTGTGGTGAAATCACCAGCATGTTCACACTAGTGAAGGATGGTTATAGATCACCTTTCTACTCCCAGTCTTGTTCCAGCAAAAATAGCACTCAACAGAATCAACGGCTGCTACCACTGACAGCTGTGGAGTCTGTGGATGGGACAAAGAACCAGATGTAACCAGAGCCTTTGGCCAGAGTCCTTTTTGTTGTCTTCTTTGATAGGGCTGTGATTGTACTGGCCACGCAAAATCTTGCCAAGCTGGATTCAGCTCCACTGGTGAAGAAGGAAGTTGAAGCTCCAAGCCACACTGCACTCCCCCCATGTCTGGAAGATGAGCTACCCAGAGCACTGTGGGGACTGGTTGCATGACTGGAATTTTATAGAGGCCTTGTGCCCTTGAGGGATCCTGCTGAGGCCAAGCAGCCTCTTGAATCCTTGTATGTCCCCTTGCCCTCACAGTAATCACACAGAATTACAGAATCACTGAATGATAGGGATGTCTGGAGATCATGTAGTCCAACCCCTCTGCCAGAGCAGGTTCACCTAGAGCAGATTGCACAGAATGGTGTCCGGGCGGGTTTGGAATGTCTCCAGAGATGGAGACTCCACCACCTGATGATCCTGTACTCTTCCCACAGCTCTGAGGAGTGGCAGAAAGTGAGTAAAAGTGAGAGAGAGAAGATGGGGATGACAGTGGAAGACGATGGAGAGTTCTGGTGAGTCCTCCTGGGGTTGATATCATGGGCCATGCCTACAGAGTCCTCCCACTGTGCATGTGAGTCATTCCCATGCAAACAGAGCAAAAGGCCTTCCAAACCCCAGGATCTTTAGTGAAGCCTCCTCCTTCAGCCCGTGGGTATTAGCTTTGGATGGCCATGACCGTGGGTTTGCAAGTGGCTCTGTATCACACTGGGTCCAAACCATTTCACCAGGGTACTGGGATCCTGTTATGAATGTCCTGAACTTAACAGCGTCACTGGGTGGGTTTCAATACAACATGTACCATGTGTGGAGGAGAGGCCACTACTTTTTTTCTCTCACTCCAAAACACAGAGCTCTGTTGTTTAAACTGAGAACACGGAGAAAGGTGTCTCCATCTCTTTTTATTCATCAGCCATCAGAGGCTACCAACACACCATCTGTATCAGGTGATCAAGAAAATCCCCTGAAGGGAATGAAACAACATAACCCATCTCTGTCCTTTCCTGACTTAGGATGACCTTTGAAGATTTCTGCAAATACTTCACAGACATCATCAAGTGCCGTCTCATCAACACGTCGTACCTGAGCATCCACAAGACCTGGGAGGAGGCAGTGCTACGTGGGGCCTGGACCAGAAACAGTGACCCATTGAAGAACCGCTCTGGAGGCTGTATCAACCACAAGGATACCTTTTTGCAGAACCCTCAAGTGAGTCACTGAGCAGAGGACCTTCTGGAGTATTCACACGTGCTTGCAAGTGTTTAAAACTCCTACAGGGACCTAGAAGGCCAAAATGGCTGCCAGACATCTGGTAGATTAAAAGTGCTCATGACTCTCTGGCTGAGACCCCTGGCACAGCATGGCCAGCGTCCAGGCCAACTCTGTTACTCTTATCCCTTTTATCAGGGAGAGTGTATCCAAGCGCCTGGTGTATAGCGTCTTGGTACAAGCAAACAGCAAACGGTGCCCCAGGTTAGCCAGGAACCATTCCCAACAATTTTGATGTCTGAGTGATCAAATTCTAGTTCATTTACTCAAGCTTTGGCATTGCTAAATTTACTAGCATAGGTGTAGTCTATAGGGCCATTTCCTTCTAGTTTGGCCTTCCATAAAGACCCTGCTATGAAGTTCCTCTCCTGGAACAAGCTCCTCAGTCCTGTCCTGCTCTGAACTGGGATTCTCAGTAACATGAGACAAGATCTTCTGAGTCCTGCATAGAATCATAGGATGGTTTGAATTGGAAGGGACCTTGAAGATCATCCAGTTTCAAGCCCCCTGCCATGGCCAGGGACACCTCCCACTAGACTAGGTTGCTCAAAGCCCCATCCAGCCTGGCCTTGAACACCTCCAGGGATGGGGCAGCCACAGCTTCTCCTGGCAACCTGTTCTAGTGTCTCACCACCCTCACAGGAAAGAGTTTATTCCTAATATCTAATCTAAATCTCCCGTCTTTCTGTTTAAAACTGTTCCACCTCATCCTGTCACTCAAATCCCTGACAAAGAGTCCCTCCCCATCTCTCCTGTAGGCCCCATTTAGAGACTGGAAGGCCACTATGAGGTCTCCCCGGAGCCTTCTCTTCTCCAGGCTGAAGTCCCCCAACTCTCTCAGCCTGTTCTCACTGCAGAGGTGCTCCAGCCCTCTCATTATGTTTGTGGCCCTCTGGACTTATTCCAACAGCTCCACATCTTTCTTATTTTTGGAGCTGGACACAGTACTGCAGGTGGGGTCTCACCAGAGCAGAGTAGATGGGCAGAATCACCTCCTTTGACCTGTGGCCACAGATGAAGGATGGTCTGGTCCATTGCAGGAATTGTCATCAAGGATGTGGGAGACTTATCTTCTGCTCCCAGCTCTGTATTAGAACCTTTATCTTAGATCTCTGTGAATGTCAGTGCCTCCTTCCATGCCGTGGAAGATTTGTAGCATACTACAAGGGCTGAAACTCTCTTGTATGAGCCTGCACCTAGACTCCTTGGATTCTGCTGAACAATTCAAAGGCTTGATTTACCAGGCTTTTCTAAGATGAGATAAAAAGTCCCTGGCTTGGCAAGATGATACCAAGTCCCAAGAGGAGGGGGTGTGGGCTCTCAAAGCTGGTACTGAAGCCAGGTTGTCCCTGCAGTGAGGTGGGCGAGGAGAAGCAGAGGTTAACGCTACTGTATATCCACACCCACCCATGCCCAGTGATCCTGTCTTAGAAGTCCTCCCTCACCTTCCTCCTTTTGCTTCTAGTACGTGTTTGATGTGAAGAAGGCAGAAGATGAAGTGCTCATCTCCATCCAGCAGAAGCCAAAAAGGACCAGTCGCAAAGAAGGCAAAGGAGAGAACCTGGCCATAGGCTTTGATATCCATAAGGTAGACCATGGATCCTGCATGTTGGCCTGAATCCCCCCATAAATGTGTTAGTGCTGGAGTGGTACATCAGTCCTGGTATTGTTCATTTAAGCATTACTCTGGGAGCCCCTCGGGTGCCTTCAGCCCAGCCTGACCCACTCTAGAGATGGTGAGGGATTTCAGAGGTGAATGGTGACAACGTGGACAAGTTCTCTTTGCTAAAAGCAATGGTTAGTCTGTTATCTCCAAACATTAAAATCCTTATGTGATCCATATGTGTTGCTTAATGGGCCCCTAGTGTCAAGCTGGAGTAGAATATCTCCAAACATTAAAATCCTTATGTGATCCTTATGTGTTGCCTAATGGGCCCCCAGTGTCAAGCTGGGGTAGAATCAGAATTGTCTAGGTTGGAAGGGATCTTTAAGATCATCGAGTCCAACCATCAAGTTAATACTGGCAAAACCACCACTAACCCATGTGGTGGTGCCTCAACACCACATCTACTCATTTTTTAAATACCTCCAGGGGTGGTGATTCCACCACTTCCCTGGGCAGCCTGTTCCAATGCTTGATAACCCTTTCAGTGAAGACATTTTTCCAAATATCCAATCTAATTCTCCCCTGGTGTAGCTTGAGGCCATTTCCTCTTGTCTTACCGCCCGTTCCTTGGGAGAAGAGACCGACCCCCCCTGGCTACACCCTCCTTTCAGGTAGTTGTAAGGAGCGAGGTCTCCCCTCAGCCTTCTATTTTCCAGCCTGAACAAACCCAGTTCCCTCAGCCACTCCTCACAAGACTTGTTCTCCAGACCCCTCACCAGCTCCATTCCCTGTCTCTGTATGCAAGTCCCCGAAGTTGTAGGGAGTGAGAAGGTCTCCCCTCAGCCTTCTATTCTTCAGCCTCACCAACCCCAGTTCCCTCAGCCGCTCCTCACGAGACTTGATCTCCAGACCCCTCACCAGCTCCATTCCTTGACTCTGTATGCAAGTCCCTGAGCCAACAGAGTTGAGACCTCCCTGTCCATGCTTGTTTTCCATCCAGCCCATTTGGGACCATTTTACTGGTTCTCCTTACTCCAGCTCTCCCAGCACTGTGGGATCAGTCCTTGTAGCCTGACCTCCCAACATGGATACCAATACATTGTCACTTAGTGCTGTCCTGCTGACCATCCCGCTGTGGTCTCTGCCCAGGTGGAGCTGAACAGGAACTACCGGATGCACACCCTGCAGCAGAAGGTGGCCAGCTCCATTTACATTAACTCCCGCAGCGTCTTCCTGAGGACGGACCTGAAGGAAGGCCGCTACGTCATCATCCCCACCACTTTTGACCCTGGTCATGTAGGCGAGTTCCTGCTCAGGATTTTCACGGATGTGCCTTCAGATTGCCGGTAAGGAGCAAGAGCGGTGATGGGGAGGAGCTGACTATTTGGAGAGAGCCCTGTGCTTTAGACATGTGGTTTTCCTGATTGGAATTGGTCATAGCCTTGCCGGGAACTGGTAGTTGACTTCCTTTCAAGGGTGGCCAAGACACAAGGCATCTTGATAGGTCCTACCGCAGACATGCAGAGAAGCTCCCACTCTGCTTCAAGGTCTGGCATAGAAGAGCGTTCCAAACCCAGGTTGAGGAGGTTGGGATGGGGAGCAGAGTCTGACAGTGGACAGTGCATAGTCTTTCCGTCCTGCTGGAGCCATCTCTTTGGGCTGCCCATGGGGTATATCTGGGCATCTCTCAAAGGCCACATGTTTTTCCCTGCAGAGAGCTGACACTGGATGAGCCACCACACACCTGCTGGAGTGGGATGTGTGGTTACCCACAAGTGGTGTCCCAGATCCATGTCCTTGCTGCAGCCGGGCTCAAGAATCAGGACTCCCAAGGAGGTACTGGTCTTTCCCTGCCTGTTGTTTAGTCCCAGAGGAGTTGGGAGGTGGCTGGGAGGAAAAGAGGCAGGTGGTTCCACGAGGTAGGAGGGTGCTGCGATTTGTTATGTCCTCAGCTGGTTTTTTCAGTGTCTGATGCAGACACCAGAGGAGGAGAAAGTCCATGGAGAATCAAACTCATTTCTTGCTGTGGACATGATCTGGGACCTGTTATATTTACACTGTTGTCTAAGATTTGTTATGTCCTCAGCTGGTTTTTTCAGTGCCTGATTCAGACACCAGAGGAGGAGAAAGTCCACGGAGAATCAAACTCACTTCTTGCTGTGGACATGATCTGGGAGCTGTTATATGTCTAAGGTCCTTGGGAGATCCTCCCAAAACTTCCCCAAAGCCCTTAGCAATGGTCCTATAACCATCCAGGCTTGCTTCCTGAGTATGAGCAGCTGTAAATGTCAGGAATCATATTTAAAGGTTTTTTAATGGGAAGGACAGAGAAGAAATGGAGCAGGCTGATGCGTTGTGGTAGTCTTCAACACCAGAGGCTGGATAAATGTCTATCAGTAGAGGGTAGGTCAAATTTACCTCATTTTGGGATAGTGTGGATTGAGAGCCTCTCCCTCTATTTCCTGTAAGTCCTGCTCCACCCTTGGCTCCTAGGAGCCCTCTGAGATGACCTCAGCCACCACCAGCACAGTGCAGTGTGCGTCTCCCTCCTTGGTTCTCTAAAGGTTCATTTTCATGGTCCTACCATGCTCTTATGCAATTTTGACATCCAACACATCCAACAGTATGAAAGAGCATCAGCACCATGCCTCACCATGTCTTGCAGTCGTGCAGAAGCTCATGGCAGGAGCCCCATATTCAGTTCTCCTGGGATATCTGGACCGAGAAACCCAGAGGTAGTCATGACTTAGAATCATAAAATCTATGCAATTTTGACATCCAACACATCCAACAGTATGAAAGAGCATCAGCACCATGCCTCACCATGTCTTGCAGTCGTGCAGAAGCTCATGGCAGGAGCCCCATATTCAGTCCTCTGGGGATATCTGGACTGAGAAACCCAGGGGTAGTCATGACTTAGAATCATAGAATCATAGAATCTTCTAGGTTGGAAGGGACCTTAAAGATCATCTAGTCCAACCATCAACCTAACTCTCGTACTGGAAGGTTGTTGAAGTAAGGATGAAAGGCCTAGGGGTTGTGATTAAGAAGCAAATTCCTTTCCACCATTGGAATGGAGTTGGAATTTCTCCCCCATCTCCTGAGCCAAGGTCATGTGTTGAATGTAGCAAGGGTTAGCCAGTCACTTTCAAGCCAAGTGTAAAGTGTAGAAATCGAGAACTTAAAATTTAAAACATCTAAATTAAAAATGTAATTAAAATCCCTTTTTTTTTTTTTTTCAACCCAAGCATTATTATCAGGGCTGCATATCACTAGAGCCCTGAAAGTGATGAGCAGGAACCTTCCTTAGGGCAAAGAGTAGCCCAATTTTCTTGTTTATCACATGCCACAAAGGGAGTCCTCCTACCTTGTCTGGAGTTTGGGAGGGAATTTTGCCCTAGGTATGTTGCTTTTCCTTGGGTTACTCAAAATAGCTGAGTGTGTCTGTAGCAAGGCAGGGAAATCTGTAATCAAAAGTCTCTGTTCACAGAAACAAGGAGATTTATCTTTTTGTCATACAAAAGTACATACAGTTTCTGGAGCCATAAAACATTTTTTTTTTCAGCCAGAGGCTGCTGGGAATGGCTTTTTTCCAGCTGTTTTCCAGCTGTTCAGCTCCTACCAACAACAGCCTGCATGTTCAATGCTTTCCAGTGCAATGGCATCTCTCACATTTCCCAACCCAGGCCTTTCATGTTTCTTTGGAAATAGTGATTTACAGATGGGAATTTGTCTCCGGCTGATGGAATATGAGGATTTAATGGAACATCCCAAAAGACAAGGCTAGTTTGGAAAAACAGCTGTGAAATCCAGCAGCTGTGTCCCACCAGGGGAGCCAGGTCTTTGCAAACAAAAAGCTAGCAAGGAGGTGGTCTGGCAATCAAAGATGTGTTTCTTATATCCCAGGCCCTCAGAAGGGGGTGGTTTGTTCCTCTTTATTTCCACAATTCTCTTGGACAAGAAAACTCATCCACCTGGGCTGTGTTTCCACCAGAGCCACTAAAGCTTGTGGTGAGAAAACACATTCTGGCAGTTAAATTTCCATAGCAATAGCTCTTTCTCTACTGAAATTCCCCAAACAAGCACTTGTTTAATAAGGGGAAAATGTTCACTCTTTCCCTCTCCTGGAAGCTCAGGGCTGGTAGTCTCTGAACTTGGTAACTTTACTCTCCATCTCTGTGGCCTGCTTGTTCCCCATGACTGTCTTGTTCCAGCTGGGATGTTGAAATAGCCTTCCTTTCCCACGGACCCGTTACGTTCATGAACCTCTCCTCTGGCTTCCCACTTACCCCTTCTGTCTGCATCTCCTCAACTATCCACTCATTTCCCCTGGTTGCCCCTCAATGCCCATCCTTTCTCTTCCCCACGTCTCGCACTGCCACCAATCATCCTTTTTGACATTTTGATCTCCCTGAATTCTTGCCCACAGCAAATACTCTAAGAACTATCTTCACCTCTTTAAAAGACTTTTAAATACCTTTCCACCCTAAGGCTCCCCATCCACTGGTTACTCACCAAGCCCTTCCCAGTGCCCACATGGTCTCATGTTGGATTCTCATAAACGAGCACACCTTCACACTTCATTTTGGTTTAGCATTGTGCCATCTCTCGTCACCCTGACCACCCAGCATTTTTCTTAACCCAACGTTCATTGTTATGCTGACATCTCCTGCAGCGTTTGAGTCTCACTAGGTCTAGGAGGAAGATGTGCCAATGATTTGTGCACAGTCCCTGCTGAGGTAGCTACTTATCACCTTAAAGTAAAACCAAGGTTAGCCTGGCTTGGGAGTATATAAACTGCAGGGGAAGCAAGTGGATATTTGCAGCTTGAAGGCCTTGAACACCTTCTTGGTGTTTCCTGTCGTGAAACAACCTCTGTGAGCCTGTTTCTCTTCTCCATGGCTTTATTTCTGCCTGCCTTCAGCAGAGCAAATCCTGAAAGGAGAGTTGAGCAGGGCAGTGTCTGCCATGAAAGATTCAGGAGGATTTGGAGTGATGAAGGAGTGTTTATGTAGAATATGGCGTCAAGGAAGAGGTGGCCATTTCATAGTAGTCCATCACCACCTGCTGCCTAGGGACCCAACAGCTGGGCTTCATGGACATCATCTGAGGTGTGATGAACCCTTTGGCAGATATGTGTCTCCTCTGGTAGGGTATGGAGGAAAAGTGCTGCATGACTCCCCAGGAAAAGGGCTCTGAGGACTTACAGGAGCTACAACGCAGCAAAAATTCCCTTTTGTCTCCCCAGGAGCTGACCCTTATGTGATCATAAAGTGCGAAGGGCAAAAAGTTCGCTCTCCGGTGAAGAAGAACACTGTGTCTCCAGAATTTGATGTGAAAGGGCTTTTCTACCGCAAGAAGCCAGGACAACCCATCATTGTTCAGGTACCCAGCAGGCAAGCAGTGAGTCAAGGGATGGAGACTCTCTCTCACTTGGCCCCCGCCCACCTGCCCTCTCCTCACACTGTCCATGATGTGTCTGTTCCCCAAGGCTGAGCATCACCAGTTCATGCAGCTCAACCACCCATCAGCGTGGACGAGCTGTGACCACTGGTAGAAGCATGTCCTTCACCCCTCTCACTTACAGAGTGACCCACACACACACCTCGACCACCTCCACAGCTCCATCTCAGAGCAGGTCCCCAGTAACCCCTTCTCCTCCCTGGCACGTGAAGGTTAACTGCATCCCTCAAGGAGATGCCCTTCAATCGCATCCTGGGCTGCATCAAAAGATGCGTTGCCAGTAGGTCCAGAGAGGTGATTCTGCCACTTTACTCTGCTCTGGTGAGACCTCACCTGGAGAACTGTGTGCAGGTCTGGAGCCCTCAATATAAAAAGGACATGGACCTGATGGAGAGGGTCCAGAGGAGGGCCACAAGGATGATCAAGGGGATGGAGCACCTCTGCTACGAGGACAGGCTGAGGGAGCTGGGGTTGTTCAGCCTGGAGAAGAGGAGGCTCTGGGGAGACCTAACAGCAGCCTTCCAGTACCTGAAGGGAGCCTACAGGAAGGCTGGGGAGAGCCTGTTTAGAAAGGCCTGCAGTGACAGGACGAGGGGCAATGGCTTCAAGCTGGAGGGGAACAGATTTAGATTGGAGATGAGGAGAGGGTTCTTTACTGTGAGGGTGGTGGAGCACTGGAACAGATTGCCCAGGGAGGTGGTTGAGGCCCCATCCCTGGAGATATTCAAGGTGAGGCTCGACGAGGCCCTGGGCAGCCTGGTCTAGTTGGGGGTGTCCCTGCTGACTGCGGGGGGGTCGGACTAGATGGCCTTTGGAGGTCCCTTCCGGCCTGGGCAATTCTATGATTCTATGATTCTATGATTCTATGTCTGTTTTGTCTCCCCAGATCTGGAACCACAACCTAATAAGTGACGAGTTCTTGGGCCAAGTGGCCCTCACAGGGGATCCCAGTGACCGGCAGTCGGTGCACACCCTGCACCTCCAGGACAAGGGGAACAAGAGATCGAACGATCTCTCTGGAACCATCGCTGTGAGGCTGCTCAGCAGTAACATCCTCACCAACGTCTAAGTACTCACAGACTCTTCTTCTGGTGCCACATACGTGTATATAAACATGCACACGTACATACATATATATATACACACATACACAGAGCCTACCAACCATCTGCAAGGTGTATATGAACCATGCATGCATTCCACTCAAAGGAGCCAATCTTGTGTTTTCAATGTTTAAAAAAAAAAAAAAAAAGGTGCCTTTTTGGGGAACCGCAACGATCCTTCTGCTGGCGTCCTCCGCAGCCCCAGTTCCCACCCTGTGCCCCGTGGGATGGCCGTGGGCATGCCATGTGTCCTGACAGCCACAGCGCAGTGCCCTGATGCTGTTTGTTTACACGGGCTGGCACACAGGTGCCACCACGCACACGTGTGGCCACCGCGGTCCCACCCGCTGCTTCAACGCCCCTTCGATGTCTCTGCTTGGTTCTAGAGTAGTGTGTGTGGAGTCATCTCCTGTGAAAACTGCCGTTTAATCGCTTCTCTGTGGAGGCACCTCAGCAAAGGAGAAGTAGAAAAACAGATTGGGGGCCTCTTGGATGTTTTCTGGGTATGGGTTTGCCTACTGCAACTGGAAGGATGCACCAAGGCAATCCCAAATCCACAGGGGCAACGAGACTAAGGGCTCTATCATTTTTTGGAACAAGCTATCTCCTCCTGAGTCTTGTTCAACCCCGTGCAGCTCTGGAAGGATACAAAGATGCCCCAACAACCATGGTGGAACAACTGTTCTCTGGGGTCAAGCTCTTGAATCGGTCTGGACTCAGCTCCTGCGTGTGCCTCTCGAACTGCCACGGTGCCTGCTGTCCCCATGTCTTCATGCAGTCCCCATCCCAAGAGCTCACCCCAGTAGCTGGGCTGGATTGTCTGCTGGGGCCGTTGAGTGTTTAGGTAAGAGGGGATCGGTTCTTCTGAAGGCCAAAGCATCAGGTCCAAGGGATGGGGAGCTTTGCTCAACGGGCTCCATCTTTTACCGCTGCATACAGTGCATCATTTCTCAGTGCCTCGCTTTCCCAAGTTATTTTTTAAAAATGGTGGGATTTTAGCTTGTACTAGAGAAGAGAAGAGGAGTGCTGCTCCCAGCGCAGCCTGAAAGTGCTGGGAATATTTCATTCGTGCCAGTGTCCATCTCTCACCTTTGATTTCCAGTCTCCCGGACTGGAGGATGAGTTGCACAGTGCTAGAGCCAGTCTCACAAGCACAACCCAAAAACCATCCCTGGGGCCATGCCTAGGGCCATGCTCTGCTCCTGGTTGCCATGAAGACTGGGTTTATCCTCCTTATTCCACTGGGTGGCAGAATCCGGCTTCTTAAAAACCATCCCAGATAAGCCAAACAACAAACCCTTGTCTGGCCTTTCAAGCAGCTGATCAGGGCAGGTTTCAAACCATTTTTTCCCCCTGTTGCTTAGGTTGGGTTTTTTTTTTTTTCTTCTTCATGTGCCTTTAAAAATGGTGCAAGGTAAGGGTTTTTTCTGTCAGATTTTCTAAAGAGCAAATCTTTTGCAGTCACCTGCATGCAAGTGGAAATGAATTTCTATGGTGTAAACTTATCATCTTGGTAAATTTTGGGCTGAGCAGAGTCCTCTGCTTGCAAGGACAAAGGGACATGAAAGCCTTCTTTTGCCATAGCAAGTAGGGTTTTTGTTTGTCCAACTAAATAACTATGTTTATGCTGCAAATCTGTATTTTTTTTAAAGTCCCTAAAAATCTACTAAGTGTTTAACATGGTAAGATGTTCCCCAAATTCATCTGCAATCTCAATGTTAGCTGCCATCTCAATTGTTGGTGCATCCAGAAGCAAAGAGTAAAATTTCATTGATTTTTGCAGGCTGTTGTTCCCCTTTCCTCATCTTCAGGGTTTACCTCCTGTGGTTATGAATTGAGTTTTTGACCAAATTGCTTATTTTCTCTAGGTCCTTTTTTCCAAGCTTAGAGGCAAGTTGTGGCCCACAGGATGCTCATCCCAAGTATTAGCTATTCCTGGCTTGTGCTGAGCACCCTCCAGCTCCTGTTGCCATCACCGGGACCTGGTTTAGTTGAGCAGAATTGGCTCAAATGCTCCTAATTTGATAAAGTGGCATTTTGACCCCAAGGTCAAAGCAAAGCCTTGAATTTGGGCAGACCAATTCAGAGATGTTTCGATTTTATTCTGGCTTTGTTCATTGGACTCACCACTGAAAATAAATGGAAGCAGCATTTTGGGGGCAGGATGTAGGTCTTAGGAGAAGATCTCACAGACTGACATTGAGAGTGGTACGTGAGAGGGTCTGTGATGCCCAAAGATACCTCACCTGGCAGGGAGAAGCTGTTTATCTAAGGGAGAACATCCCAGGAACTTCCCAGCAGCTTTGCACCATCATCGGCAGCTGGAGTTAGCCAGCCTGCCAGCTTTAGCCTTGTTTTCTCAGGAAATCAGGCTACTGATAGCTTCAGCAAAGGAGAGCCATTTGGCCAGGAGTGCCCTGCCACATGCCAAACTGCACCGTGATCCCCAAGGAACGGTGCTGAAGCTTGCTGAGGAGTAACCATGCCCTGGTACCCATGGGCAGCTTCCTTCCTACAAAGATTCAAGCCATAAAGAGAGGAAAGGCAGCTTTTTAACAGCTTCCTCAAAAAAAAAGAAAAAAAAAAAAGAAAGAAAGAAGCAAAAACCTTTATCACACTGTATCAGGACCAAAATGTCTTAATATTAGTAATATTGTTCCTTTTTTTTTTAATAAAAAAGAAACTTTTGAAAAGCTAATGCAGAAGCTTTCTTCCCCTTACATTTCCAACGGAATAACAAAAAATACCTTTTTGCTTTTTTTTTTTTTTGTCTTTTTTGTAGAGGAGTTATTGAAATGCTATTCCTGATGTTGATGCCTTTTCTCTTTGAATGAAGTAAACAGAAATATTCAGGGTTTTGTTTTGGTTTTTTTTACTGTATCAGGACCAAAATGTCTTAATATTAGTAATATTGTTCCTTTTTTTTTTAATAAAAAAGAAACTTTTGAAAAGCTAATACTGTATCAGGACCAAAATGTCTTAATATTAATAATATTTTTCCTTTTTTTTTTTTCTAAAAAAAAAACTTTTGAAAAGCTAAAGCAGAAGCTTTCTTCCCCTTACATTTCCAACGGAATAACAAAAAATACCTTTTTGCTTTTTTTTTTTTTTGTCTTTTTTGTAGAGGAGTTATTGAAATGCTATTCCTGATGTTGATGCCTTTTCTCTTTGAATGAAGTAAACAGAAATATTCAGGGTTTTGTTTTGGTTTTTTTTGTTTCATCTGAGGGGAGGGCAGGTCTGATAAGCACTTTCCAGCCCTTCCAAGGTGGTGCAGGACGTGTCTCTGATTTCTTTTTTTTCCATTTCTTTTGTTAATCATTTCAATGGTCGCGAGTCGCCTCCCATTACACTCCGTGAAACCCGTTTCTTTTCGACGCCTGCGTGTGAAAACAGGCTGTGGCTTGTCTTCATCTCCAAAGGCACTGACGTGTCATGTTGCACAAGATCAGAGAGTGGTCCAAACAGAAAGCCAATGTTGTACAGCTGTAAACCTCCAAATGAATAAATTGTGTATATTTTATTCAGACTCCCTGCCTTTAAACTCCTCTGTTCTTCCGGAATGCTTTTGATGGGCACCAGGTGGCCCTGCAGAGCCTTCTCAATTTGCTTCATTCTCTGAACTCCGTTCAAATTCTTTTCCCTGCGGACTTTGAGACTGAGGCAAGGGAATCTGCATTAAGGTTTCACGCAAGGTTACACTCATGTTCACTGGGAAAAGCCAGGGAAGGGAAGGGTAACCTCCTCTGACAGTAAAACCTGTCCATCCTATGCCTCAAAGTCACCACAATGCAGGCAACTTGGGGTTTGGAGCTTCAGCTGGCTTGGAAAAAGCTCTACAGATTGAAAAAAAAAATTAATTTAAAAAAAGGGATTATGGGCAAATCGGCAGGAGGATGTGATTTTGGGGTTTTTGGATTCTTTCCCTCAAAGGACAAACCTGCAGATTGCATGTTGGGAGTGTTTGCAAAGCAAAAAGCCTGTCCCTGCCCCCAGGAGTCTCCAGTCTTGCTGCTGTAACGTCCCAAAGTGCTAGTCCCAAGGTCTTGCTCCCATCTTGGCTCCATCCCCTGCCAGTGTTTGAGGCCTTTGCAGCATGGAGACGCTGTGCCCTTTGGCAGCCTCCCAAGGTCTTGCTCCCATCTTGGCTCCATCACCTGCCTGTGTTTGAGGTCTTTGCAGCATGGAGAGGCTGTGCCCTTTGGTAGCCTGTCTTCAAGAGCCTGAAGCAGGCATCTGGAAATAGCCTTTTTATCATGGGGTGGGAGCACCCATCCACATCCTTCTGCCCATCCCCTTGGACAAAGTGTGTCACCAAACCCTAGACAGAAAAAGGAGCATCCTACTCCGCTGCCTTCATCACTGAAGCAGCTTGCAAGGACCGTTCTTCAGAGGGGGGAAGCTCACAAACATCTCAACTTCACAAACATCCTAATACTGCCCTGGAGGGTGTCTTTCTTGAGCAGTAGACATGGCTGAGCACCTATGGGGCTGTGATACTTGCTGCTGGATATAGCACAAGAGCTCTGGTGTAGACCAAGTGGTTTTACCAAGTCCTGCTTTGTGAACATTCAAAAAAAAAAAAGTTCTTCTGCAATCCTGGATGAGCTACAAATCATCCTGTAGGTATGGGGTATAGTGCTTCCCTGCCAGCATCCACCAGTTTATCTGGCACGAGGGCAGTGGGCTTGGAAGTAACTGAAGCAGCTTGCAAGGACCGTTCTTCAGAGGGGGGAAGCTCACAAACATCTCAACTTCACAAACATCCTAATACTGCCCTGGAGGGTGTCTTTCTTGAGCAGTAGACATGGCTGAGCACCTATGGGGCTGTGATACTTGCTGCTGGATATAGCACAAGAGCTCTGGTGTAGACCAAGTGGTTTTACCAAGTCCTGCTTTGTGCACATCCAAAAAAAAACAGGTCTTCTGCAATCCTGGATGTGCTACAAATCATCCTGTAGGTATGGGCTATGGTGCTTCTCCACCAGCATCCACCAGTTTATCTGGCACCAGGGCAGTGGGCTTGGAAGTGGAGGTTGCCTTGGAACCCTGTCTGTCCCAGTGCCAGTGGAGCACAGCACCACGTGGGCAGGGATGCTGGAACTGGTGTGGGACCTCAGCACATCAGTGTGGAGGTGTGGGGAGCTCCTCCAGCAGCGAGGAGTAGAGTGGTGCACAGCTCCAGGTGGGATCCAGCCCAGGATCCCCAAAGGCCCTCAGCACCTCCTCATCCTCCAGCACTGTCATCTGCCAGGGATTTCCCTTCACTAATGTTAAACGAACTAAACTGACACTTCGGAGTCTCCTTTTGACCTTCAAGAGCATGTTCAAGGAGGAAGAGACATACTGCTATTGTTGCAAGATGAGGCTAGAATATTTCTCCTTCACCCTGGTCCCCTTCATCTTGGTCCCACCATAACACCCATATACAGTCCTCCCATACAGATGCAAGCCTCATGATGCTTAAGAGGACTTGGAGTCTACTAGAGGTACCAGGGCTTTCAGCAAGGGGATGGCTTCATTGCCTGCCTCTCAGAGCTGCTCAGGTGCTACCACCTCCTTGGTCAATGTTCCAGGTGTTATTAAACACCCAGGGATTAGCCCATGACCCACAGCTGTGACAGTCTGCTGAGTAGGAGTCATCCAAAGGCTCCTCGTGCTTTTCAAATCCCAGCTTCAAACTCTGGGCAGAAGAGCATGTCCAGCCCTGTGTCCCTGGCAGAGCCTCCCTCGCTGTCTTTCCACACACCCATGGGACATGCTGGTCACAGGAAAGGGCTGCCCGAGGTGGGACCCTTTCCAAGCTCATGGGATGTGGTCCTGAGCAAATTCATTCCCGGACACAGCCAGTATCTGCCCTTGCATCCACACAAACCACATTGGCACGGTGAGTAGGACTTGAGGGAAACCGAGTGTGGCTCTAGCTGGTCCCAAATCATCTCTCTGGAGCCTAAAGTCAACTAAAGCCTAAAGTCTGTTCATAGCTGGTTCCTACAACAGGGCTGGGCAGCCACGGGGAGTTTCCAAGGGCCAGGGTGGCTGTGATGTGACTTCTCCAACATTTTCAGCAGAGTTTGGAGCAGGGAGGCTCCCTCTCATCTCTCCTTACTTCTGCAGTATTACCCAAAAAAATTCAGCCATCCTGGATGAAGGGCTCAATGCACCCTTGTTCTAAGGTGGACCTTAGAAACACCTTGTGTGTTAATGCTGCAAAAAAAAAAGGGGGGGCGTGTTTTGCATCATTCAGTAATGAAATGCTGTGCTTTGTACCCAAGTAAGAAACCTTGGTGTTGTTTCATAGTTAAAAGCCAGCCCCAGCTTTCTCAGCAGGAAAAAGGAAAGACACCAGCCCAGATTTGGGCAGGGAGTCACCGGGTCAGAGTTAAGCTTCTAGGCAGAGCCTCAGCTGTGAGTTTCCTGGTCCTCAAGTGTTTTTCTCTCCTTTTCCACCTTTCAAAACGCGGGCTGGTGCATTCAAACCTGAATGCCTGTCAGCTCCTGCTCCCATCCCACAGGACCTCAGTAGGATCCCCTTGCGCATCCCTGAGACCTATTTGCGTGAGGCAGAGGGATTCTCCTACACCCCCCCCCTCCTTTGCCTAAGAAGCCATCAAGACTGCACAACCAGGACTTGGAAATGCAGCTTAAATCTCCGCAGGGCTTTTCATTGGTACCACGGTCTGGGTACCGCACCCCAGGGATGCAGGATGCGGTGTTGAGGGGGGGGGAGGTGGGATGCTTGGGGAACGCGGTCCTTAAGGTGTCCCTGGGCTGGAGGTATCACACACACACTCTCTTACACACACACACACACACACTCACACGTACCGGGGGCTGGCTGTTATCCCGGCTCCTCCCCCGCTAAGAGGCTCAGCGGCGGGCAGGGCAGGCGCTGCCCTCGCTCGGTACCGGAGGCAGCGGAGGCTCCACGCCGGGTACCAGCGCCCCTTCCCCGGCTCCAGCCCCGGCCATGCCCCTCTAAGGTAAGGCTACACCCGGGGGTGCCCCCGGTGGGGTGCCCCGGATGGCAATGGGGGGTGCTGTAGGGGTGCAGTGGGGCGGGGTGATGCGCGATGGGGGTGGGATGGATAAGGTCCATGGAGGAGGGCATGGAGCCCGCATCCAACCTGGGGAAGGGGCTGGGCTCGCTGGGAGGGAGGCGACACGATTGGAAGTAGAGGTTGCCTTGGAACCCTGTCTGTCCCAGTGCTGGTGGTGCACAGCACCATGTGGGCAGGGATGCTGGAACTGGTGTGGGACCTCAGCACATCAGTGTGGAGGTGTGGGGAGCTCCTCCAGCAGCGAGGAGTAGAGTGGTGCACAGCTCCAGGTGGGATCCAGCCCAGGATCCCCAAAGGCCCTCAGCACCTCCTCATCCTCCAGCACTGTCATCTGCCAGGGATTTCCCTTCACTAATGTTAAACGAACTAAACTGACACTTCGGAGTCTCCTTTTGACCTGCAAGAGCATGTTCAAGGAGGAAGAGACATACTGCTATTGTTGCAAGATGAGGCTAGAATATTTCTCCTTCACCCTGGTCCCCTTCATCTTGGTCCCACCATAACACCCATATACAGTCCTCCCATACAGATGCAAGCCTCATGATGTCCCGGGGACCACCTCAACCTCTCCCTGCTCTGATCCAGCCCCAAATGCACCACCCAGACAGTTGAAGCACAACCTGCTCTCAGGCAGCAGGAGTTTCCCCTGGTTGCAGCGTAGCACAGCTTGTGTCCAGGCTGTGTTTCGGTGGTGTGTCCCCCTGGATCACACCGGTGATGGTAATCATTACCCAGGACTGTTTAAATGATTAGGACCATCCCTGGGCAGGGATTTGAGAGCCAAGGGG